GTTTATAAGAACAAAAAGATAAAGTAACTATACTCCTAGCATGACTTTGTCAATTCTAAAAAGTTCAACATACAAAACATCAACTAATCGAATAATTAATATATAATTATCATATCAATGAATATAAATAGATTCCCTTATCATCTTTCTTCAATTATCTACATTAACATCATAATACCTTTAGTCACTCATAACCTAAGTTAATTGATTAATATCGATATCAATATCAAATAGATATAATTAACTATTACCTCGACTATGGTTAATTAGAGGTATGTTACTACCAATCTACTTGATATAATTACCTTTCATTTCAATAAAAAACTAATCAAGTTTTCAAGTATATGTTAATGTCAGTTTGTTCATATTAACATCATTAGCCTTCCCCATTTTCGGTGGATAATTAATCAAGCTCACTTCTATAAATTCCTTTCATATTCAAACCGATACCAATGAACCTTATTGATATCATTAGTCTCTCGTACCTGGAAGAACTAATTAGGTCCACATAAATATCGATATCAATGATCCTTTTTTATATCATTAGTCTCACATACCAGAAATGACTAATCAAGTTTAAGAAATGTCAATACCAATCATTAGTTTTCCAAACCTGAGGTAACTAATCAAGTTTATTTTCAACACTTTAATTTTATTGTCAATGTCAATGAAATCTCATTGACATTGTTAGCCTCTATTTTCAAGAGTGACTAATCAAGTTCTTAACCTATATATTTTCATCCAAGTAAATGTTAATATCATTATATTGTATTGATATCATTAGCTTCTAAATTACCTTGGACAACTAATCAAATCAATATTTTTTTTATTTTCTCTCCCTCTTTTTTTTTCCCATTTAATATTTATGAATTATATATTTAAAGAGCTTGCAATTATAAAAATTCAGGTGATACAAATACAATTATTAAGGTTTAAGACACCTATTTATTGCACGTGAAGTCCCTACTCTTACTTCTATCTGTGGTCTAGTTGCAGTAGTATCCCCTATCAACACAGGATAAATTCATCACCATCATTTTATTATAACCTTTTGATCCATATTTAGATCTTCATAATAACAACCTTCTATTAATTTAGTATATATACATATTTCACATTTATATATATTTAAGTTTCATTTTATCATTTAATTCATTAACACTAGACTTGGAACCATTTGTGTTATGTGTCCCAATAGTGATTTAGGTAAAAAGAGGATTTGATTCAATTGTGAAGTAACAATAACTTAAGTGCAACAATATCCAAGTTGTTACGGTAGAGTAATACAATGAGTTATTATAGTGATAGAAACCTTAAATAGGACCAACTTACAATAAAATCAAAACTAGGCACGTCCCAAAGGTGAAATTATATATAAGTACATGATCCAACACATGTCTATAATTCAAAGCAATTCAAGAGTTAGATTTCTTTGTATAAGAATAAAACCAAATTGACCTGGAATTTTGGCAAGCTATTATTCAACATGAACAAATTCATGCCGAAGCGTTTAGTTTTAATCTCCACTGTTCCAAATGTAGATCACATTCAGGCACAACATATATCAAAAAATAAGTTTGATCCAAAGGTAGAAGAGAGAGATAACGACTAGTGACCAAGACTTTCTTAGAGGTTGTTTTTTCATAGAATAGTTCCAATTATGATTTCTCTCAAGCAAAAATTGATCTTTGAAATCCATCTAGTTAGATTATAGAGGATGGGGAGAAGAATAATATATCTGAAAAGTAACCCAATACAAAGGTGGATGCTAAAGATATGGCTTTCGGAGTATATTACCTTTTTATAGGTTTTCTCTCTAACTTCTCTCTTTATTTCTTTAAATTTTTTGGTTTGTTATCAATGGATCCCAAAACAGCCAATAATATATTTATATTACCAGTTTTTCTCATTAATTATGGAATGTCCCTCTAGTCTAGTTTAATTATTTTTTGGTTAAACTCGATATTCTATCTTTACCTACTTTTAAAATAACATATATAAAGGAATTTTTTAATCTTTAAACTCCTTCCAATATATTCAATATCTTCTTATTTTATTTTCTAATTAGCCTATTTCTTCTCAAATTAAATATAATTTTTTATTATTACTAAAAAATCCAAGTCAGAGGTTTAAAACATAGTCCAAATTTAATAATATTCAACACTAAAATAAATAAATAAAACACCATAAAAAAATTCTTTTTGTTTGAAATCTCTATGCATGGCTGAAACTCCCCATTTGCTTTTCCTTGAGGCTTTGCCAAAACTTTATACTCCATATTAGATATGAAAATTTGTTTTTAATTGTTGAAATTTTCTCTTTTAAATTACCTCCTCTTAGTCTCCTCGATGTGCTAGAAAATCTTATAAAATAAGAAAAATAAAAACAAAAGAATCTTAAGCCTCTTTACTACATTTTATAATAGATATGGAATCCTTGCAAACTATGGATAATAGTTATTACCATAAATGTCTCTCATAGAATCTTTATAGAATAAGTAGGTCAATAGCTGCTACATATGTTTTCAAAAGTATTAAGGAATTCTTATATTGTCTGGAATCTATAATACATAAGAAAACATAGTTTCTACAATTTTAGCACATACTTAACAGATTTTAATCCTAACTTCAAGCTCATTGTTCTCTCTTTTCTAAATGAATTAGCAAGGTTACCATTATCATTGGAGGGTATATGTTTCTAATTTCCAACCCAATTAGAATCTAAGAATATTTTCTTTTGTATTTCTAGATATTGTCCAAATAATAGACGAAGGTCCAAATAGACATGTATGACAACATATGTCCAGTAACTTTGACCTTCTTAAACAATCTCTTTCTAAACTTAGATTGATCTAAAATTTTAACTCAATATAGAAAAACATGTCTTGAAACGCTTATAAAGATTTCAGCTTGATCTAATGGTCGAGTTGGAAGTTGTTCTTAATAGCATAAAACTGGATAGTAAAACATTGTACGCTAAAATCTAAATTTGACTTTGCTTGGTTTATCAGGTGAGGTCGATCCGCTAAAAAAAAATGCAAGGTTTATGGTTATTCCATAAAAGAAAGGACACAAGGTTGGGCTATAAAAAAAGGGGACAAATGGTTTGTCTTATTGATGAAGGACTCACTTCTGGACATCTACCAATTCAAGCATGCTTCGAGTCCTCACACCCCATCAGTTGCTCATTGTCTCAAAGTGAGGTTCACCTAGTTTGAGATAGAATAATTTTATCATACATATGATTTGTATGAACCAAGCCTCTAAAGATACATGTCATTAAATTAAATTGTTTGACCATCTTATTTGATCAGTCAAGATACTTTCTAAAATAACTAAGGATTTATCTAGGATAACTTCAGAATTATGTTATGATAATCCTTTGTTCTAGATAGTGTAATGCCTTTATAGTTAGGCACGGTGTAGCCACACACTTGGGAGAAGAGTTGTCTTTATACTTGGACAAGATGGGAAAGGTTTTTATATTCGAGAAAAGTTATAGTTTGTGCTAAGATTGGAGAGTATTTATGTACAACTTATGAAGAGTCATTTGAAGAGAATCTCATAGCTAATATTATATAGAGCTAATTTCATGGAAAACAACACATGAAAATCCACCTGGAGAGAATATTAAATATTATATAGAGCTAATTTTTTGGAGAGCAACCTTAAACAAAGATTAGCAAAGAAATGACTCATAAAACTTGATCAGGTAAACTTTTTGATATTTAAGTTAGCACTAGTGCAGGGGAAAAGAATTTTTTAAGGTTGCATTATATGTTTTGCAAAGAAAATACAAGAAATAATTAGAGGTTGAAGAAGGGAATGTGAGCTCCTTTTTTAGACCCTTTATCTTATGACTAATGGATATTTATGTAGTTATAAGCCACACTAACTTGTTTAGAGATAAGACTGACAGTTCTGAATTTTTTAAGGTTGTATTGTATATGTTGCAAAGAAGATGGAAGAGATAATTAGAGATTGAGGAAAGAAATGTGAGCTTTTTTTTTGGACCCTTAATCTTATGATTAATAAACGTTTATATGGCCATGAGCCATATTAACTTGCTAAAAGATAAGGTTGGTAGTTCACTTTTGAGTGAAAAGAATGACATGGTAAGGGTCATCCATGTATATAGACATATCTAATATCATTATGTGGGCTTTATACAATATATAATCATTTAATGAATATATGTTTTATCTTCATTAGTGGCAAGTAAACCATATTTCATGGGTAATGCATCTAGAATCTAGCATTTGGATTTAGGGGTGTAAACATATTTAGAGAGATACGTTGTCGACTAGTTAAGAAAAGAGAATAAAAATGTGATCGATCTTGGCAAGTAGTGGTATCCATTCATCGGAGATGTGAGGTTTGTCCAAAAAAAAAAGTATGGGAAGTCAGTCCATCGAAGAAGAGGGCCGTTCGTCTATCAAAATAAGGTACACCAGGTCAGCACACCAGAAAAAGCAGTGCACCCATTCCTGTTGAAAGGAGACACTCGTCCGAGCATCCACCAATCCCGGCATGCTTTGAGTTCCGGCAACCCCATCAAATTCCCTCCCGCTATTAGTTGTGAAAGCCCAAAATTGATAGAGGCAGTGGTACAGATTGAAATCTGGTAGACAATCTAGATGTATTATTCATCTAGAGAGCTCATTTTTTATCCTTGGAGATCTTTAGTTAAGGCATTTTTTTTTACTTTCTTCCATACAGTCTACTAGCTACCCTGTCTATGAGGTAACATTCGAGAAAATTCGATTCATTTGTAGCCCTAGCTAACTAGGTTTCTTCGCTACTCCTAACTAATTTCGCTTATTAATGATAGGCCATCTATTTTAGTTTAGGAAAATGGCGAACCAAACCGGTTTTAATTTGGAGACGATGGCACATCACATATACGGGAAATTCTCAGGACTGATAGTTTACAAACCCGAAAACATGGTGTCGCCAAGTGCAGAAGCAGAGAAGCAGAGCATGAGCTCCAATTATCAAACAAAGCAAACATAACATGCTACTTATTTTATAAAATACCACAACCATTATAAAATTCATCAGCCTACTTGGAACCATCAAGAACATCCCATGGCATATTTCATCCATGACATACCCAATGAAGCCCCGAGCATTTCTTCCCCAAACCAAAGATCAAATGCTGCTAATGTGGTGAGTTCACATTTCTGTGATCTAAGTGGGATATTTTCATGCCTAGAGACCCCATTAACATAACATCCTTATTAAACCACGCTAGAATAACTCAGCGTACGTACTCGCTAGACATGCAAGATTCTACTTACACACAAGTACCCACGAAAGAGACTGAAAACCTTTTTCTCATAACCTCATTACTCAGTCTTTTCTACTGGGGTTTCTGTTTCAACCTTCTCCACTGCTTCAACAGGTTTCTCTTCTCCCTTGACTTCTTCTTCTTCCTTTGGAGCGTCGACTGCAACTTCTGGTTCTGGTGCCTGTGTCTCACCAGACTCGGTAGCCTCTTTAGCTTCTTCAACAACCTGCTCTGCAGGTACTTCCTCTGGAGACTCCTCCTTTGTCTCCTCAACTGCCGGCTCTGGTGTTTCCTTAGGTGTCTCCTCCTCTGTTTTCTCCACCACTGCTGGCTCTTCTGCAAGAATCTTGGTCTCTTCTACCACCTCTTTAGTCTCAACTTCAGCTGGGGCCTCGGGGGCTGGTGCCACGGCCTCTTCAGATGCTGCAGGTGTCTCTACTTCTTTTGGCTCTTCAGCTACTGCCTCTGGTGCTGCAGCGACTGCTTCTTCTGTGGTGGTCTCGATCTTGATTGGTTGTTCACTTTTTTCCTCTGCAAGTGCACTCTGCACTGACACAACCTGCTGGATAAACAGATGATTAAAGAATGTTCACCAAAATGCCGATAACTGTTACTTGAAGTGTCACAGTGATAAAGAAAAATATTTACCAAAATACATTGGATATATTATGAACTGTATGAAAGTATTTGAATGATCAAGAGATAATTCATCACCCCATATGAATTAGAAAAAAAATATTTTATTTATTCTCAAATAGTATTAACTGAAAAATCCTTCACCAAGGTGGAATGAGATTTGAAAAAAATTTCAAATTTTATTGAAACGATCAATAACTATTATATAGAGAACAAATATGATTTAACAAGGCAAACATACTCTATACTTTAATATTAAATTGAGATATTATTGATAAAAGGATATTGATTAAACTGAAAAACCGGTTACTGAAAGGTTAAGTTAAACTACTAATAATTTTTTCAATATTTGAGAGATCATGACACGTTGCTAGACGATGCATCTGATCTTCAAATACAAATTAATCAATTGTTAAATTGATAATAAATTAAATTATTTACTTTTTTTAATTCTATGTAATTATAATTATAATTTATATTTGGACCAACATATTAGGAATTAATGAGTCACACATATTAAAAACTATTAGTTATAAATTAAACCGAGGTGATTTAATTAAGTATGACTTGAATAAAATATATTTTAGAAATTAAGGACTAGAATGTAATTAATATAGGGATTACATTTCTAAACCTAAAAAAATCAAGTAAGGACTTGATTGAGTTAATTTCTAAAATTATAATAAATTAATATATCTATATTATTCAAGGGTCAAATTGATATTTTGATAATTAATAGAGTTTTTCAGAATTTTTTATAAATAATAATTCATGTCTCTTATTTTATAGTGATTCTCTATTAGATTAAAAAAAAGAACTATATAAATTACATAATAAAAAGTTAATATTTTAGAGATAACAATATCTCTCTTAAATAAAAACTTATAAGATTATTTTTATTGGTTATTTGTGTAAATTATCATTAAAATCTGGATAATTATATAATTTATAGTTTACAACAACATAATTTTTAAAAAATTATTAAAAGTTAAAAAAAATCAAATATTCTGAAAATATATCTAAACAAAGCTCAATGTTTATCTAACAATTGTTTTTTTTTTAAATCTAAATAATTTTAAAAATTCGTGTATAAGCCTCGGAACCCTAAAGGAACCGACCCCAAGCTCAATCAATTGAGAGAGGGAGCTACTTTGAGGAATCGTGGGATATGACAACTCAGCCTCACTGAATTCAAAGGGGATTAGCATGTTTGGCAATGATGTCTAGGAGATTTTCTTGAGATGGGTTTGCCTATTTTTAATGGCTAGTTGCTTGTATGCTTTTGATCGGGAAAAAGGCTGAAATAATGGAGGTCATCTTCATGCAAGCCATCATCTTCTTTTGGTTGTGTGTGCTTGTGTGCTTAGTGCAGTCGGTCCCGTACGTGACCTGCTTTCCACCCTCCACCTGCCATTCGTCCTTCAATACTATTTTATTCTTATTTCTTGGCATCGATCTTGCCAAGCTGTTTACCCTATGGTAAATATTGTCGCACCGCCCCCCCAGCTTCATGATTATATGAATTTTGTCTTCCTAACATGGATTTATTCATAATTATATATGACGATGCAGCTCGCAATTATTTCTTGAAATTTTTGTTTCCTGTGGTGACCGGTGATTCACCCGTGGGCGTACGATGCATTTGGAAGCACCATTGATTTATATGTAGACTTGAGAAAATACATGTTTGATAAGATTACATAAAGATATTTAGTTTATATCTTATAGTATTATCCATAATAACATGTATTTTGTGCTCTTCATGTTAATGTCTCACATCAACCCAAGTTGGTCCTATATAAATAGTTGTGCTGAATGATAAAATCGTGTTCAGCAAGTTTTATCAAATTAATCATTTATATTTTAATAATTTTTTAAATTGTTTTCACAGGAAAGGATTTTTATTTTTTACTTTTTTGATATATAATATATCATGCCCTAGATAACTTACATACATTAATTAGATCTTTATACTCCAAACAAGAATTGTAAAGTAAGACTTATACTTTATATTTCATGACCATCAATAATAGATATAAGGAGTCAAAATGAAAACTATATATTAAAGTGTGTTTAAAAATGTGGTTATAGGTTTTTTTTTTTTAGAAAAATATATTAATAATATTTTTTATTTTTAAAAAATTATTTTTGAGATCAATACATCAAAATAATTTAAAAACATTAAAAATATAATTTAAAGTAAAAAAATTTAAATTTTTTTAAAAATATTTTTAAAATACAATACTAAATAGACAGTGATATTTTGACTTATATGAACTTTACTAATATAGTCATTTAAAATCAACATGAATGGGAATCGTAACACGTAAGAGTATAAAATCCTTAAAACACTTAATCGTATTGTATGTAGTGAAATTACTTTTAAAAATAAATTTGAATATTTTAAAAATTATTTTAATGTTTCTTTAGAAATCCCCTTATATATCAATATCAAACTATTAAAAAAATACTTGAAATTCAAAGACATTTTTATAAAATCACACGAGCAGGCACTCAAAATCAAACCACAGCCACCTCAAGTGATTAATTGACGTCAAAAGAAATATATTTTTTTAATATTTAAACATATAAAATTTTCAATAAGCTGCTATAGACATCATTGTCTTTATATTATGTCCATATTATTATTGTTGTTGTTTTGTTTTTTTAGCTTTTTCTAATAAAAGAAGTTCGGCCTATGGGCCTGTGCCTTGTGGGAGTTGAAGGGTCGCCCAAAACCAATGGCTGTAATTTACGTAAAAGAAACGAATAAAACTCTGACGTGGCACTTTAAGTTGATGTTCTCTCCCTACCGTTTCTAAAGCTTGTGGACCCCACGAGATGGAAAGCAGACACGGATTTTGACATTAGTGAAGGAAGACTCGATTAGCTGAGCTGGAGGACCTTCCTAGCTCTTGATTACGTGTCAACAGTCTTTCGGTCTTTCTTTTCTTTTTTTTTCCCCCAAACTTGCTTGAAAACTTTTATTCCTAATACAATATTCAAAATTAAAATATTGATATGCAGTAGATATATATATTAAAATAATATATAAAAGAATTATTTTTAATACTAATATAATTTAAGAACATTAAAATATTTAATTTAAAATAAAAATAATTTCAAAACTTGATGAAAAGTTAATTCAACAGCAGTTCTAAATAGATAATCAAATCAATAATTTAAGAACATTAAAAGATTTAATTTAAAATTAAAATATAATTTTTAAACATTAAAATATTTAATTTAAAATAAAAAAATAATTTTACAAAAATTCATTAAGATTTTTTATTCACAAATACCCAGTAAACCTTTTCTTTCTACACTATTTCTAACTACATATAATCAAATCAATATTACGGATGTACCACTGTAAATGAAACAAAAAAGGGAAACCAGCTTAATTGCAATATTATTTATAATGCATATCTTAATTATTTTATTATTATGCATTTATTTGTTTATCAAAATTTATCTATCTCGTAGATGCCCGAGTCAATAATACTCCTGATTGAAAACTTCGTACGGTGGCGGGCACCAAGTTCCTGCATCGAGATGCATTTGCAGCAGGGGATGGCTGGCATCCAGCGTGTCGTTTCATCCCCCCGAAAAGGATGGCCAGAACGGCAAAGAATTCGACAATTCTGTAAAGGTCTGCCTCTTAGGTCTAGGTTCAGGTTTTGGGCGGTGGGCTGGCCTACCAGACGTGGAGCCCACATGGGTTCCGTGGTCCATCCTGCCAATCAGGACGTGACACGTGTAACGCACGTCACCCACCACGTGGGATGATGCTGTTTCCATGTCATTATTGGATGGGACAGGGCCATTTGGATGCAAAAGGAGGTGGGTCCATGGGACGAAATTAGGGAGCTGTTGATAGCCGATGGATGGAGGAAGCTACGCTTTTCGGAAGCAGGAAAGATTCAGATTGTGGTAATCTTTTGTGACTTGAGTTAAGATAAAGTTTTTCTTTTTTTTAATTAATTACTTTAATATATTAAAATAATATTGAAACTCAGCGTTCGTTACAAATCGGTGAGGTCGAGTGGCAATGGCCTTGTTGGCTCATCTAGAAGGTAACTGAGTTCAACTCAGTCCAATTTTACCACATGTATTTCGCATGTTGTTTTGTAGGTGAAAATAGCGTATGTTGTTCACTGAGGTTTGCGTCTTCTAGACTTTTGACTGGCTTCAGTTAACATCTTGTAAATCAAAAATTCTATTCGACTTGCTTAGCTGTGAGTAGAGTTTTTTTTTTTAAAAAAAAATAACTTAAAATAATTAATATTTAGATGTTATAATTTGTTTTTTTGACATTGGATAAAAAAAATAATTGTTAATAAAAAAAATATTTACATGTAATAAAATATAATAAAAATTATATACGTTAATAAAAACATATAAGATTTTAAATGAATTTTTAAAATAAAAATTATATATATTAATAAAAATATATAAGATCTTAAACGAATTTTTAACATGATAGAAAAAAAAAACAATATTAAATTGCAATATTGAAATATCATTTCCTTAATCTTTATATAATTATTTCTCTAATGAAAAGTGTAAAGAAAAAAACTAAAAAATAAATTATAAAAAAATAAAGATAAGAACAAAAAAAATGTTATAAATAGTTCAAGGGTAAAGAATAAAAAATAATATTTTTATCCAAAAAATGTGTAAAGAAAAAATAAATAAATATCACAAGAAAATAAAGATAAAAAAATAGTGATAAAAATTCCATGTATAAAGAAAAAAAATATAAAAAAACTTAGATAAAAATTCCATGTATAAAGAAAAAAAAAAACTTCTTTTCTAGAAAAACTAAAAATTAGATATTTATCATCGCCACAGTAAAATAATTGACAAAATTTACAATTAGTCATTTCTACTATAAAAAATCATTTCCTTTTAGTACATGTATAATTAAGTTATCAATAAATATTCTTCAAA